CCGTGGCTCCGGCGGTGGCTGCGTCGGAAGAGCTCTGCTGCTCGAAGGAAGCGCGCCGCGGTCGCGCCTTGGGAAGGGGCCCTACGAGAGCTCCTTGTCCGCAACTGCCTCCGAGAGGCGCTTCCTTGAACAGCGCCACGACCTCTGCGTAATGCCCTGAATTGGGCGGAGCGTGCGCGACAATGACGCCCAATTGAACGCCGGCGCGGCGATATTCCTGAGGTCTGAATCTAATTCAATGTTGCCCAATTATTTATTTCTCGGGTCCCGAGAGTCAATTGACGTTAAATCGAATTACATCCAGACCTCGCGCGTCTGCGGTCTAGGCGATACTGGAAGGAAGGAGGACCCGCCAATAATTGTTTCTTTTTCGCAGTTTTCAATTTTTTTTAATATACGGAAGATCGTGGATATTGTTTATTAAGTACTTTTTGTTTAAAATATGGTGCATCTTGTCACAAGTGTTTTAACAATTTGAATTATTACCCTGTATTTTCGAAAATTTCAAAATGTTAACATCGCAAAAGTACAATATTGAATACAGAAATTTTTGTCTCAAATAAAATGTGTTCTAAAAAATCATTTATAAAAAAAGGACATGCTTCAATTTTTCTTCGGACAGAACAAAGGACACTTAAAAGAATGGTGCAGGTCTCATTGTTGTTGAACTGAATTTTTGGAAATTGCAAGTTTGAAATGTATTTTTAGATATAATCCGAGAAAGTATGTGCTGTTGGAATTCACTCGTTATCACATTTGGGTTATGCATGGCAATTGAAACCAATCGAACTTGTTTTTATGTTTAAATTAAGAGAAAAGATACCATAGTGGGCAGCATTACGTATCAGCTTGCATTTAATGAAACACAAAAAAAGGTGGCTTCTGCGATTCAGCCTTACCCAACAACGAAATAAAGGATTTCTCAGAAAAATGATGAAAGCAAACATTTCATGAAGGTAACTATATGATGTTTACTTCAAAAACTTTCTTCACGAGAACATTAATAAGCGTAGGTAAAATATATAGTGTCTATTTAAAAGCTTATTTTACACTTTTAAATTCCTATTTTACATTTTAAATACCTATTTTCCTAACTATTGCTACAGTTTTCCGTGCCTACAAATCCGTAACTTACTAATAAGGGATCCGTTTGGCAGGTCGGTAAACAAAAGATGACGATGGCATTGCCGGAAGTTGTGTCGAAAGCATTCAGAAGTGAGCCAACTGCGAGCGAACGCATTAACTAATTTAACACATGGACATTACCTGCAGTTATGCTAACAGCAGTAGCTGTCAAAGCGGCCACTTCTTACAAACACCTTTCTTTACCTGAAAGCCTCAATGCTAACACCAAACGCGATAACAAGCGAGCAGTTGTTGCAATAGGAGCGAGGTGGGGCATAGTTTCAATAATATTAGTCAACTGAATTGTTGACACTCACGTCTCTCTCAAAATCTGTTGCAAACTTTATGATAAGTTTGGTTCACTTGCGTTTGCGAACTATTAAGTTTATTTCCAAATTGACGTACTCCATTTCCGTTTATTTTCAACTTTTACGTATCAATCCTTAAAACGCTTTCCCATCATGCTCCCAATTATTTTCAAAAAAGGTGTTTTTCCCATGTTAATCGGCATCGGAAACTATTGGACTTCGGATACCGTTTTACACATGGGTTGAACTTATCTATGAACTTATCATGAACAAAACAGCTGAATTTGAATACTTTCATTTCCTGAAAAGTTATATTTCTTGGAGAATCGACACAGGAAATAAGCTCCTCTGTTTTCTTCTGAGAAAAAATGACATGGAACTGGTTTCTAATCATAGTTTTAAATGTTCTTCATTCTCGAAATATTTTTCCAAAAATAAACTCGAAATGGAAAATACGTAACAAATATTCGTTGCGAATTCATCTAAATTTATTTATTAAGCGCTTTTAATAAATTTGTATTATGTTTCCTCAACGTTTATGATTGATTAGTGATTCCTGGCGCGTCGACTGACCCGTAAGTGTTGTGAATGTTTTCCGGAGGTGGGAAAAATCTTCCCCCCCCCCCTAGATGGAGAGATCCCGCGCCGACCTACCTATCGGCTAGCGGGGTTTTCCCCAATCAGGTATCTCTCACCAGCGAGGCACCGCCCAGCCCCGACAAACTCCAGGCTCCCGGCCAGTCTCTCAGCATTTGTGGACGTGTAGTACATGTAAGTGTAATTATGCGTACGTAAGGGGTGAGAAAAGGACAAGGAAGGGGAAGGAAAGATTACACGCGATCTGTGGCCTATTTGTTAGATAGTTGCTCCGGCACTCGCCTGGTGTTGATCGGAGAAACCATGGAAAACTCAGAGCAGCTAGAATTCTTTTCCAGACAACGACTGTCTTCGACCTATCTGACAAGGTAGTGTCGGAACTCGAACCGCAGGACCTCCCAGTCAGAGGAACTGCAGTGACATCAGTCGATGCCCTAGTCCGGTAAGGCCCCTAAGCCGGGAGGCGCGAGCTCGTGTTTGCTGCCCCGCACAGGTGTGAATCACTCGGCCGACCTCGCTTCTTTGCGTCGAAGCCCAGCACAAGGTTAGATAAAGACTGTGTTCCTTTTCCTGGAAGAAAATAGTGTTCTCTACGTTGCAATTTCACATTTGTAAAAAAATATAATTGCTCATCACAAGGTGTTTGTTCGCGAAAAGTATGATATTATGTACAAGTACATTGTACGTCGTTTCTGAAACGTATATAAATTCGTTTGCTAGTCTGAAGACCTGCGCGTACAACACCCACCAAACTTCCTCCACTGTCGGTGTTATGTGTCAAGAGCATTGTTATTGGTTTGGATTTATTGTCGGACACAAAAGTGCACCCACACCCTTGGCATTATTTGTGAACATCAACGTTTGAAGTGAGGAGCTGCCATTGTAAAAAAAGTTCATTAATTTGGTGTTGGTGTTCATTAAATTGGAATTTATAATGCGATGATGTGTGAATCGCATTTGCTGAATTTGAATTGTAGAATCAGGGTCCTTGTCCTTCAACACCTAATCTAATTTTCACATAAAAATACCTAAATATTGAATGTCCGGTGCCAAAACGAAAAGAGAAATACCGGATGTGTGCACTGAGAAATTAATGGCGTGATAACTAATACCCTTTAATACAAAATTATTTTTCTGCTTACGTGATTTAAGTTTTAACGAGTTAACGCCCCCAAATTCCACTCCCTTTCAAGATTACATTAAAGTGATTGATAAAAGTATTGACAGCAATTCAGACATCAGCTAATAGCAGTATTACCGCATCGACGCTTCAGCTTATACACTGGCGCCTTCGTTAGGTATTAAGGAACCGAAGACAAAAATATTGACGTCTCAAATAGAGTGACCATATTTTGAAGTGACCACAAATGATACCAATAACTACACCATGAATCGAATGCTCACTTGTAAATAGATACATATTTTTTATATTTTCTTGATTTTATTTTTATATAGAAGGTATGTGGTATTTGGGATTGTTAATTCAGACGTAACGTTTTCAAATGTTCTTCCAAACGTAAAAGCAGTTGTTTCAGAAAGGTATATAAATTCGTTCATACGATTTTATGTGACTTTCTCAGAAATCAACCACGATGAGCATAATTTTCGATATACCAAGGTCCGCCGTTTTGCCGCCTAGGGCAGGCCTGTGCTAGGGCCACAGCGTGGGGCAGCTTTAAACATATGGATTGCCAGCGGCACCACACACATTACAAACTTCAAGCTGTTCTGGAAGAGACAAGGTTGGAGAAGGCGGTGCGACGAACCGCTCTTGGAGTTCAAAAAGTATGACAGGAAAGAGATGAGGGGAGGAAGTGTCCCCGGCAATGCTACAGACATTTTCCGCGTAACGATGCCCTGAATTAATTTCCTTGGGCAAAAATCGGACTAGGTTGAGGATATGCGCAAAAACTAATACTAATTCTAACATAATGGGGCGGGATCATCCTCATCAAGTAAAATAAATCCTTCGAGCGATATTTCCGGAGGGGAAATGCATCAAAGAAATACAAAAAATTGAAAGAATAAGGCCTTTGCTGTCAAAACTAGCTCATTCGGTTAGGAAAAAGTTTAGAAGAGAAACAAAATAGTTTTCATCTTTTCCTCTCACCGTTTGATATGAATGGGATTTGATCTTGCAATCTAGGTATAAATAATTTCAATTTGAATTACTTGGCAAAAAAAATCCGATGTTTCACTGAAAAAAATTTTTCTCAAAATGGCATTTAAATTTGAATTCGATCATTTTGGTAAAGTGAAAAAGCTTTGTGCAAAATAATGCAAAAAATATGTGGAAAATAATGTAAAAATGTGCAAAAATATGTGCAAAATAATAAAATAATTTTGAAGTTCTCGTCTTCATTAGTGAAAGATTGATAGGATAATTCAAATGAAGTCGACGATGATGTCAGAAAAGAATTGATGTAGCCAAAAATTGAAAACGTTTTATACTTTTACTTATTCTTGATGAGTCAAGCGGTATTTACAAATACCAGCGAGCTTAACCTGATCTGAATCATAGTTAGGCCATCACGACGTTAGGTTCTTTCACTCTGGCGGTGATTAATAAAAGTTAATGACGTCTCCAGGTTTCGGAGTAGAAAGAAGGACGCTACCAAAAGTCGAAAAGTAAGAATAAATATAAATAAAAATAAAAAAAAACTGACGAGACAAGAGAAAGTGAAACCTGAGTTACTCCAGTTATTTTCACTTCACAATGTTTTTTCTTGCTTTTAAACACCAAGTTGAAGTTTCATGTTTCAGGAGTTACATTACGCCCTCATTACGCCTCATAGTGTTGCCAACGATTTCTGATTCAGATTCTCAAATACAAGAAATAGTTAACATTTGCCTTTGTCAGTGCCAAGTCATCAATGTTCCTTGCGTGTGTGCACGCAGCCAATCCCCGGCTCCCTCTCCCCACCACAGATGAATGAAGCCGTGACTTCCGATCTGGCAACTGCGGCGAGCTGCCCCGTGGGTGTGTCATTCGGTCACTTCAGACATCGGCGTCCGGCTGTCAAGTGTTGTCAACTGGAGACGTTGATTCCCGAAGCGAAGTTTGAGAAGTGAAGTGAGTATGTGCGGCTGATGTGCGCTTGTTGCTACTGTGGGTAAAAAATGTTTTCATTTTGCAATGCGATATGAAATACTTTCTACTGGAGAACGCCATTGTTTTTTAATATTGCTCTTATGAAACAAAACATTGGTAAAAATAACTATTGCGTGGAAGTTTAAGAACTAATGAACAAAAGTTGGTTAATTTAAGCGGCGAATAAATACAATCGAATCCAGTTAATTAATACAATTGCATTTCTATTTCAAGATCATATGACTTTGATATGATATAAAAAATATTTATTGCTAATAGGCAGGCACTGATTTATGTTATGGACATTGAGGAATGTTACCCATGTTTGTTCTAAAGACATTTGATTTTCTTCTAACCTTTTTTGTAGAAATAAATTTTATTTTCACTTTATATTAACTTTATTATAATGCAAGTATGGTCTCATTGATTCCTAGTAACTTTTTCTAGTTTATTACATTTATTTATTCACAAGTTTTTAGTTTTGCAGAAGATAAGAATATATTCAATGAAAGATATTAACAATTAATTTCTAATTGGCAATTGTGCCGTGAATAAGGATGGCTTGCTTTATTTTGTCAAAGCTGTAAATAGAATTGCCAGATTTTCTATAGCTGCATCTAGCAATTAGGTGTGCCATGGAGTTTGCTTAAGAAGTAAATTCATAGTAAAATGATTTTTTGAATTCAGTAAACTTTTTAAAAATGAACTTCACCAACTTCACTCAATGCATTAGAAGAATTCTCTACACTGCATCATAATAATAAGAGAATGGAAACTGCATGTGTTGTAATTTCAAAAATGAATCTTTTCAGCCTAAAGTTGGATAAGGAATAAATATTTATAATTATAGTCATTATTTTCAGAAATACTCTTATGGTAGTTGTAAGAAAGGTCTTGGAATTTTTTTGTTTAAAAGCAATTATTCCATAATTTCCAATATTCCATAATCATTATTTCCATAATGACATATCGCAATGAAACACAATTTTTCTTAGGAAGGGAAAGGATTCACATTCAGCCTTACAATTAAAGATAGGATTCAATGATTTTTGGATATTATATAGGAGAAACAGCATGTTTAAGAAGAATCTTAAGAATATATTGAAATCATCCGTATTATAAACCTAGAAAATGCTTGGAAATGTATATGCATCACTTGGAAATCAACTACTTTGCACAATTAAAGAGCTTAAGAGATATTAATTGCATTATCTTGGGGGCAAAAAAGATTACTTGATTTTTCAACATTTTTAACAAGTGATAAAAATATTTTAATTTTAAAAATTTGGAAAAACTTAAAATATTTTTTGTACATATATACTTATTTAATTACAGAATTTGCAGAACCACTTTGACATAAGAAAACATGAGTTCGCAATATTATCCATTCAAGGTAGGAATTGGTTAATGGTTGTTCATTATAAAATAAATAAAAACTATGAATCTAATACACAAATTATATTTTAGTGCACCCCCACAGTTTTCCCAGCTGATCCATTTGATGCCAATGCTGATGCTGAAACTCTCCGAAAAGCCATGAAAGGTTTTGGCACGGATGAACAGGCCATTATTGACGTTCTTGCCAGAAGAGGTATTGTTCAGAGATTAGAAATTGCAGAGATGTTCAAGACTTTATATGGCAAGGTAAAATATTTAACATATAATTTGCTTAAGTTTCTGCACTTTCACTTGAAGCTACTGCTACTAGTAATGATCACTAGGTAGTAATTTTAACATTGTGATTTATTATATGAAAATGGTTTTCTAGGATCTTATTTCAGAGTTAAAAAGTGAACTTGGAGGAAAATTTGAAGATGTCATCATGGCTCTTATGACCCCTTTGCCAGAGTTTTATGCCAAGGAGCTTCATGATGCTGTGAAAGGGCTTGGTACAGATGAAGAAGCTATAATCGAGATACTGGCAACTTTAAGTAACTACGGAATTCGGACAGTGTCGGCCTTCTATGAAAAATGTGAGAAAATAGCTCATTGTTAATCGTGTCATAATCTTTTTTAAATATTTGTTTATTTAATGAAAAGAAGTTAGTCTTACACCACTCGTGGAGCAATTTTGAAAATGGACAATTTAACATCGGTGACTTGATTTCTATTTTTTAAATTTAATCTAACAAACTTTATGTGGAACCTAAACTTGAAAACTTAAAATATAAAAAGTAGAAACTTAAATAATCCATGATTAGAATTTTCAAAACTGTTAATTGTTACAAAATAGCAATATTATGAAAAGGCCGAGAAGTTATATCGTACCTTTGAAATCTCGATTTCTCTGCAAATTGTTTTTATCTACAAAGAAAATTTTTGCCTCCTATTTGAATCCCAGAAATATCTTCATTTTATTTTCGGCTCTGCGATTTGGAGATGACAACTTAAGCCCTGTATTAATGAAAATATACTGAATGTTAAGTAACTGTATATTTGTTTCAAGTGTATGGAAAGAGTCTGGAAAGTGACTTAAAAGGAGATTCATCAGGACATTTTAAGAGACTCCTGGTGTCTTTGTGCATGGTAGGTTTTAATAAAAATATATTTTTGTTAATGTACTTTAAAATACAAGATTATTCATGCAATATTTTCTGATTAAGAAGAAAAAATACATTGACTGATTAATGGCAAATCCATTAAGTGTTATTTATAGTGGTATAAATGTCAACCTTTTGGAACTATAAAATTTCTTATATTCCATTAGGCCAACAGAGATGAAAGCCAGACTGTGGACCCTGCAGAAGTCAGTGCTGACGCACAATCCTTGCTAAATGCTGGTAAAATATTACATTTTTAAGAAAAGTTGTTTTTAATGTTGGAAAATTTTTCTTGATTTTTGTGTGTTTTTCCCCTTGAGGAGAGAAAAAATGGGGCACAGATGAATCGGCTTTTAATGCAGTACTGGTGTCGCGAAGCTATCAACACCTTCGTCAGACTTTCTTGGAGTATGAAAGACTCGCCAGTCATGACATTGAAGAGACAATAAAAAAAGAATTCTCTGGAAGCATTGAGAAGGGTCTTCTTGCTATAGGTAACTACATAACATAAGTTTGAGATTTTTTTAATGTGATTCTGTACTAGTTTCTTAAAAGTATTTTTCCAAAATGCTTTTGACTGCAAATATCAATTAAATGCATACATCTAGAATATACACACATGCATGTAAATATGCACATGCACATGTGCATGCATGCATTAATGTAACCATAACATAGTTCATAAAGTTTGAGAAGAATGAAACAAATTGTGTTAAATGCAAAGAGTAATATAATTTATGATTACTTTTCAGTGAAGTGTGTGAAAAGTAAAGTAGGATTTTTCGCTGAACGTCTGCATGCAAGTATGGCAGGATTCGGCACCAAGGACAAAACATTAATTCGCATAGTTGTGTCTCGTTCTGAAATTGATCTTGGAGACATCAAAAAAGCTTTTGAAGAAAAGTATGGTAAAACCTTGGAGAGTTTCATCTCTGTAAGTTTCCTCGTATTAGAGCCAATCGCTTTTAACCTCTGTTGATCTTGCACCGAACTCTTTTAACGACTAATCTGTTTGTTTTTAGTTTCACAATTTCATGAGCATCAAAAACTAAGATCAAATAATAGAGTAATCTGCGACAAGCATAGAAAAAAAAACTTTGATTCATTTACAATTTTTTTCGTCAGTATTGTAAACTGAAACCTTTAAAGACCACTGTTGGCAAAACTTGATATATTATACTAGATATTCAAATGTTTAGCAAAGTGCCTGTTATATGGATGTTTTTAAAGTGTTTTAGTATCCAAACTGAATTATGAAACTGAAATATTTGACTGAAGTTTTATTTTACCTTTTGACAATAAATGCCTTTTTAGAATTATTTGCTATCATTTTAAATGCATTAAAAATATTTTTAAATATCTTTTCAGTTTTAAACACTCCAAATAGTTGCCTATCAGTAAAAAAACAAGGTGTTTTTTTTTTTTTAAACCCTTGGTTCAGATTTTGGATGTGACCCAAAACACTCACATTTCAGAGCAAATCGATAAGCTTGACTCCAGACAACTGATATCTACCCTCACACCATGTTCTCCTGGAGGGAAGAAAGGCTGTTTTAATTCAAAGAATTAAATGTTAGGTCACCTGTCAACTGAAGAAATGAAATAACTGGGACGAGCAATCATGATATCAGTAGCCTATGTTACTGAATTTCGGAAGCCAGAGCAGTTTCCTTGAGAATGAAGGCCGAGGCCACAGGATTTGTGTGAATCCACCAGTGTATTTTCTTGTAATTACTAAAAAATTCTGTGTGCTTACAATCATCCTAAAAGTTGTCTCTTCAAAGGGTAAATAAAAAAAAAAAAAATGCTATTAAGGGCTTGGTTGTAGTAGGGTCGTGGGCTGGTATCATTTTACATACAATGAATTGTTTTCAGCTGTTAATTTCAAGAAAAAATGTCAGTGTGGGCGTTGTTTAATAGGGTGCTCAGTCAGACTAGCAAAATATCGAAAGGTCAGACATCATGAAAATTATTTTTTCAGATTCAGCAATCCAGAAAAAAATTTTATCTACAATTATTCAAATTTTGATGATTAATAAATATTCTTAGTATTCTATTAAAAAATTTGAAGCTAACGAACAACAAAAAATTTGTCATTTCTATTTATTTTCATGATTTCCAACCCTTTGATTTTTTTGTTGGCCTTTTGACAAATGTCCCATATGCATTTTTTGTTTGCAATTAATCTGTTTATTTGCAGTCTTATTATCATAAATTTGTTGAGTCCTTTTAACATGATCTTTTGGGAAACCAGGGATGGATTATAAAAACATACTAGGTTATAATGTGGTAAACGGGACTTTAAGGAAAGTTAATACTACAAATAAGTTTATCTACACAAAATCTTTTAATAAACACTTCATTGTTGTACAATGCAAAAATTTATAAATAACTCAACAGCATTGCACAAAAAACTTTATGGAATGTTAAGAGCACTTGGCAAAACTTTTAAAATATTTGACATTATTCAAGGCACTATCACATAACACTTACATTTGACAGCTTCTATGGAGGAACTATGTAGCAAAATTTCATTTTGTGCCCAATTTCAGCACCTAAGTACATTCAAAGACATTGAGATTCAGATATATTTCCTTTGAGATTTTTTACAATTATAATTTGTTCTAATCTACACAAACATCAATGAATACAATAAAGCATGCTGTAATCCCTTCAGATCTGAATCAACCACTAAGTTAATAGCACCTTCTTGTAATCTCCTGAAGTGTCTCCTGAAAAATTGAATTTTCTTTAATTAAAAGATTCAAAACATTAAGAAGAATATTATGAATTTTATGTTAATTATATCTTTACACTTATGCTAAAAAATCATTAAGCATTAATATTCAT